CTTACTTGAGTTATTCCACTTAAAAGAAAAAACAGCTGACTATAGTCCACTAGGATATAGTAAAACCTGACATTTATGTGCATATCAAAGTCTGCTCTATATCTTAGTAATACCAAATATCTTGACCTCCTATAGCACTGGAGGCCTCTCTTGTAGCACTTTTATTCTGCCTCGTATCATAAGTTATTACCATACTTATCTCTTGTGCTAGAAGGTAAGCTCCTCATGGATGGAGAGTATGCCTTATTCATCTTTGTATCTTTCATTGTACATAGAACATAGAAGGTACTCAATAAATGTTTATTGAATGTTTGGGTGAATGAATGATTGCTTTAAAAATATTCAACTAGTCATGGCTCCCTTTAATTTTTCTCCAAATCACTTAACTGAAAGATTAGGGCCCCCTTTTATTTCTCAAAATAGATTTTTCCAAAGATAAAATTTCTGTTTTCTTATTTCATAAACAGCCTAATTGAGCATAAGCATCATTTGCTAACATCTCCCTCTCCAAACCCTAATAAAGAAAGGAGTTTTATTTAATGACAGTAATAATAACAGTAACAATTGCTGACATTTATAGAGTGCTTTAATATACCAATCAATTGACAAACATTTAAATGGTACAGTGGAAAGAGCCCTAGGCTTTGAGTCACAAAGACCAACATTTAAATTCTTCTTCAAATACTAGCTGTTTGACTCTGGGCAAGGCAGTTAACCTCTCTGAGCCTCAGTTTCCTCATTTGTAAGATGAGGGGGTTGTACTCATTGACTTCTAAGGTTCCTCCCAGCTCTAAATCTATGCTCCTATGATCCTTTGATTTATTAAGTACTAGTCCCTGTGCTAGGTTTTGGGAATAAAAATACAAAGAATGAAACAACCCCTATTCACAAGGAGCTTTCATTTTAATGGAGGAGACAAAAACATATATAAATATATGTAGAATAAATTCAAAGAGAAAATGCAAATAAATACAAAACAGTTATGTATGATAGTTTGAGAGTAAGGGCACTAGGCTTTGGAGGGATTAGGAAAGTTTTTATATAAAAGGTTGCTCCTGAGCTGCATCTTAATGGAAGAAGGGCACCTCTGGGAGACAGGGTGTAAAGATAAAGTGTACTCCAGACATCTGGGACAGCCAGTGCAACATCATGGAGATGGGAGATGCAATATTGTGCATCATGGACAGAAAGAATGCCAGTTTGGCTAAGTCCATGAGTATGGTAAGAGCCATAATGCCCACATGAAGCTAGAAATAGGGTGGAGTCAAATTCTATGGGCTCTAGAAGCTAAGAAAGGACTTTATATTTGATCCTGGAAACAATAAGAAGCCACTGGAGTTGCTGAGTAGGGGAGTCACGTGACCAGATCTGCACTTAAGGAAAAATATTTTGGCAGTAGTATGTAGGACAGATTGGAGTGGGGAGAGACTTGAGGCCAGCTGAATTAAGAGGCTGTTAATAACAATTTAAATGAGAGGTGATGAGGGTCTGAACTAAAGTGATAGCTATGTGAGACAAGAAAAGGAACTACTGTGGAGATTAAAATGACACGATTGGCCACCTGATTAAATATGTGGGGTAAGGGAGAGTGAGGAGTCAAGAATAACTCCAATTTTGTGAAACGAGGAGCCAGGAAGAATGTAGTGCCTTGGACAGAAATCATAAAGTTTGGAAAAGGGAAAGGTGTTGTTGGGGTTTTTTTCAGGGGTGGGGAATGAATTCAGTTTTGGACATGCTGTGTTTGAAATGTCTGCAGGACATAGTTTAAAATGTCCAATGAAACTCAGGAGAAAGACTAGGGCTGGCTGTTTAAATCTGTATGTCACCTGCACACAGATAATAATTATATCTGTGGAAACTGATGAGTTACCAAGAAAAAGAATATGGACAGAGAAGAGGGCATACAGTAGTACTGGGGATCACCCATACTTAGGAGGCATGAAATGGATGATATCCTGGCAAAAGAGGCAGAAACGGCCTACTCATTCAGATACGAGGAGGACCAGAAGAGAGTAGTGAACAACTATTTGCATCATTATTTCCATTTTACAAATGATGAAGGTTAGCCTCAGAGAAGTTTAGTGTACATTTCCTCCTGTAAAATTTTTACAGGGGGTCCACACAAAATGGGTGGGTCTTCCTCTGGATTTCTTGATTTTGTTTCAGTACTAATAGAACACAGAGTCATCCATTTGTCATCCCTCACTCTCTGTGGCTGGGCCACATCTTTTGCTAGTCGTATATCTCTGCCTATATCCTCTACGCCCCTTTTAATTTTTATTTTAAACCTAATAAACACTAAATAAAAGAGCATTTATGTACATATATAATAGAACAAAAGAGGATTACACATGAAATGGCAAATCTCCTTTACATTGAACTTTTTTTTTCTTTAAATATATAATAAATTCAACATGTAAATTTCAAAGATTTCCTCCTTGTCTATGATTCCTTCTGGTCTTCTTTTTTGGAGGGTGTGGAAGGGAGGATAGGCTGGGGAAGCCTATCTCAATCCCATCTCTGCCTTCCACCCCATTCTCCCACTGGAAAAAAAAAGAAAAGAAAAAACTCTCTCTCTCTCTCTCTCTCTCTCTCTCTCTCTCTCTCTCTCTCTCTCTCTATCTATCTATCTATCTATCTATCTATCTATAACATATATAACAAAAATTTTGCTTTTCTTTTGAATATATATGCAGGTATGTATGTATGTGTGTATATGCATACACACATACATGTGTTTATATGTGTGCATGTGTGTGTAAATATATGTATATATTCAGGGAAAATAAAGTCCCACATTCACCATGTCCATAACTATATGTCTCATTTTGCATTTTGAGTCCATCCCCTGTAACAGAAGATAAGTAGCATACTTCATCATCAGTCCCCTAGAGTTTTGCTTGGTCATTTCATTGATGAGTTCTTAAGTCTTTCAAAGTTGTTTTTCTTTATAATGTTGTTATTGTATAAATTAATCACCTAATTCCACACCCTTCATCAGTCTCCCTATGTTTCTGCAAATTGATCTCTTTCATTATTCCTTAAGGCATTAATAATATTCATGTATGATAATTTGTTCAGCCATTCCCCAATTGCTTTGTGTCCCCTTAGTTTCTAGTTTTTAGCTACTACAAAACAGAGCTACCATACATAATTTTGTGTGAATGAGTCCTTTTCTTCTTTCTTTAAAGTTTAGAGCTAGTGGTAGTATTGCTGGGTTAGCATACAAACAGGTTAGTGACTTATTGGGTATAGCTCCAAACTGCTTTCAGGAATGACAGTACCAATTCCCAGGTCCACCAGTAGTGCATTAATATGACTTTTTTCCAAAACAACTCCAACAACTCTCCCCTTTGCCAATATGATGGGTATGAGGTAGAACCTCAAAGTTCCTGCAGTTTTTCCTGGCCAATATGCTATGGTCAATTTACTCCCACCATGCATGTCTCTCCATTTCTTTTTGTGTGACCACAACTTATATGTGGAACATTAGAGTCTGGATACAAAACAATTGGGAGGACTAATGAACAGAATCTAATACAACAAAATGTAATAAGGGTCAATATGAAGTTCTACCCTTGCATTCAGAAAGTCAAGTGCCCAAGTATATAGTAGTAAAAGAAAACTTAATAGAAACTCATGCAAAAAAAAAAGAAAGAAAGACTAAGGCATTTTAGTTAACTATAAGCACAATATAATTCAACAATATGATATGGCTACAAAAAATGAAACTTAATACAATTTTAAGCTTAGGAAATACCCTATACAAAACAAGAAAGCTAATAGCTCTATTGAATTAGCCAGATCATATCTGAAATGCTATATTTTAAGAGGGACATGGACTTGGAAATATTCAAAATGAAGGTGATGAGGATGGTGAGGGGATTGAAATCCATGTCAATGAGAAGTGCTTCAAAGAACTGGACATGCTTAGACTGGAAAAAGAGAAAACTCATGGGAAACTTATGACCACAGTTTTCAAACATTTGAAGAACTACCATGGGAAGAGATCAAATTTATTTTGCATGTTTCTAAAGGATAGAACTAGAACCAAAATGGTCAAAGTTGCAGGGAAGCAGGTTTTTAGCAGCCACAAAAAATTTAAAGGGATTGCCTTGTTCCCTGTCACTGAAAATGCTCAGGGGGAGGTTTGATGATCAACTGTCTGGGACGTTGTAGAGGGGATTCATATATCTTACAGAAAGTTGGATCAAATGACCTCTAAAGTTCCTTCCAAGGCTAGGATTCTATGACTTCTCCCTTGGGCTTTTTTGTTCCATATACATGTTGTTTTGCTTTGTTTACCTTGTATCCCTTACAAGCACAAGTGTTTCCCTAATAACGACTTGGTCAGTTGTTTAAAAAAATACAAAGCAAGGAGATCATTCCACAAGATGAAATTTTCTTCCTGGATATGTAACTGATAACCCCATATCCTTTCCAGAGAAGTTTCACTTACTATTTGCTTGACTCCCCCTTCTGATCTCCCTCATTCCTCAACTGTAACTGAAGGCATAAAATTCATCCAAGGTAACATGCACCACTCCCCACCCTCCCCTACCACCACCATATACATCCATCTAATGCATGTGAAACCTGGTCATTTTACCAGTATATCACATTGTAAAATATTTGATGAGCTTAGTACCTAAAAATGCTCTTGAAGGAAAAGTAAATAATTTATGTCTGTAAAGTAGGGAGAAAAAGTTTGGAGACAAAGGAGGAAGTCAAACAACATAATTACATTCTGTCTGTGTGGTTCTATGATTCTGTTCGTCTCAGGACAGCTTGATTCCGTTCCTTTCCTCTGAATGTTTAGGTATCAAATATGTGTGGATATCTAATGGGTTATATTTTCAGTTGCTTGTTTAAAAAAAACAGGCCTCTTCCTGCTCCATTTTTTGTTTACCTGTTATTACTTCTCTTTATAGTTGCTGTTCTTATACACACATTCATACACTCATTCCTGTACAAATATATATGTAATTTTTTCCCCTCAGATAAGCCTTGTGAGCTCTACTGCTCTCCTCTGGGAAAGGAGTCTCCTGTGCTGATAGCAGACAGGGTGCTTGATGGCACACCCTGTGGGCCCTATGAGAATGACCTCTGCGTAAATGGCAGGTGCCAGGTGCAGTACCTTTCTTTATTTTTTCATTTCTTGAGTAGTGTACCAAGAGGAAAAGAGGCAGCATAACACAGTGGACAGACTGCTGAGCCTGGAGTCGGGTAGACCTGACTTCAGCTCCCCCCTCCTACAATCATTACCTATGTGACCCTAAGCAAATTACATCTCTTCACTGACCTTCAGGCAACTCCCAAAGACATCTATTAAATAATAGCAGGATAGCAGCCTATGTTGGTAGAAGGAATATATGTATATGTATATACATATATATGGAGAATATATGCATATATGTACATATATATGGAGAGAAAGAGAAAGATTGACTTCTCTATTAACAGAACTAAAATACAAACCAAGGCTGCTCCTGGTACTCACTTTGGGGTTCAAGTTAGAGAAGGTCTCCTAAGAAGAAGCCTTTTAAGATAGAGCTTAATGACACAATATCCTGAAGTCTAATTCTGTAAGGCACTATCCTTAAAGAGCTAATTAGATAGTATGAATATATGAAGGTATATAGCTATATAAAGATCAATCAATAAATATTTTGAAGCTAGGTGGTGCAGTAGAGTGCCAGGCCTGAAGTCAGGAAGATTCATCTTCCCAAGTTCAAATCTAGCCTCAGATAGTTACTAGCTATGTGACCCTGCACAAGTCACTTACCCCTGTTTGCCTTAGTTTCCTCATCTATAAAATGAGCTGGAGAAGGAAATGGCAAACCATTCCAGTATATTTGTGAAAAAAACCCAAATGAGGTCACAAAAAACTGGACACGACTGAAATCACTAAACAACAAAAACCACTTTCCCATGTGCCAGGCACTGAGCTAGGCACTAAGAGTAGAAAGACCAAAATGATATGGTCCCAGTTCTCAAGGAATTTAACATCATATCACAAAGATGACATGTACAAATATAATCATATGCATAATAAATACAAAATAAAGAAAGGGTAGTTTAGGAAGAGAGGGCACTAGCAGTTGGGAGGGAATCAGGAAAAGCTTCAAGTAGAAGAAGGTAGTACTAAAATTAAATTTTCAGGGACGTAGAAATTTTATGAGGCAGAGATGATGACAGAAAGTATTCCGGAAGGCACTGCAAAAGGCCCTGGGGACGGCTTTGGGGGGTGGCAGGGAAAGCGAGGAGAGGTAGCTAAAGTGATGTGTGTGAGGAACTCCAGAAAGATCAATTTGGCTAGGTGGTAGAACAAGGGGACGGGAGTAATATATGATGATGCCGGAAAGGTAGTTTGGGTCCAGGATATGAAAAGCCCTAAAAATCAAGCAGAGGCTTTTAGAGAGAATCACTAGAATTTATGGAGTAGGGGAATGACCTAGTTAGACCTGTACTTAAGAAAAATTACTTTAGCAGTTATATGGAGAATGGACTGGAGAGGGAAGAGGCATGAGACAGGAAGACCAATAGTCCAGGTGAGGGATGCTGGAGAAAAGAGAGGCAGAGGAAGAAGAAGAAAGGGGGAGTTTCTTAGGAAAACCTGAGGTCTGGAAATAAGACTGATTCTGTTTATAGGAACTAAAAACTAAGTATATTCCTTTGCTTAGCACATGTGATGAGCCAAACATCTATATGATTATTTCATAAATACCTTACATACTAAAGTCAGTATCTTAATCTTATTTCTAAAGCTGTATTTCAGTGAAATGTTAGGAAAATAGTAAATGCCTTTGGCAATCCATTAAGAAAGACAAATCTAAATCTGTACTTAATTATAGATGTCAACCAACTTCATCCATTGACCAGAAATAGCTAACTCATTTGCTTCATTCAAAAATGGGAGAGGAAGGAACAAGAGAAGAAAGGAAAAAAGGAAGGGAGGGAGGGAGAAAAAAAAAAGGAAGGATAGAAGTAGCAATGGAAGGAGCAGAGAGAGGGAGGGAGGAAAGACAGAAGGAAGGCAAGAATGAAGGAAAAAAGAAAGGAAGGAAGGAGGAAAAAAAGGAGCAAGGGAGGGATCCAGGCACTGTGCTAAGTATTTTACAAATATTATCTCATCTGATGGTCACAATAGTCCTTGGAGGTAGGTGCTATCATGACCTCCCTTTTTTTTTTTTTTAAGTGAGGCAGTCGGGGTTAAGTGACTTGCCCAAGGTCACACAGCTAGTACATGGCAAGCGTTTGGTCTGAGGTCGGATTTGAACTCAGGTCCTCCTGACTTCAGGGCTGGTGCTCTATCCACTGCGCCACCTAGTTGCCCCTGTGATCTCCATTTTACAGTTGAAGAAACTAAGGTAAACAAAAATTAAGTGACTTGCCCAGGGTCACACAGCTAATAAGTGGCTGAAACTGGATTTAAACTCAGGTCTTCCTGACTCTTGGCCCAGTTTTCTCTTCATTGCACCACCACCTAATATAGATTCCATGATATTTCCTAAATCAATATCTACCTCAACCTATTACCAGTATCTTGGACTTTGGAGTGGGTAGTCAGAGTCAGCAGTCAATAAATATTTATTAAGCACTTCCTAAGTGTTAGAGAAACAGAAGCATAAGATAGTCCATGCCCTCAAAGAGCTCACAATCTAATTGGGGCAAATACACAAAAATACAAAAAAGGAGCTGAAGGGTATGGGGGGTTAAGTCTTGGAGCCAGGTAGGGAAACGATCCGAGGAGGTGAGAGTTTCAGACTTCATTTCATCTTGCAGAATGATGAGTTTCTGGAGATCATGAAGCTCAAGAAAGCAGCCAGGTGGGAAGTGATAAAGTGAATTCCCTGAGAGCCTTTCTTAAATGGTGAAGAATCAGGCGTAGATCTCCAATGTCCACCCACCACCCTCTCTAATCAGAGGGACAGGGGCCCCAGGGGCAGAGTTACTGAGGAGGTATGAGTTTTAGAGTTAATTTCATCTTGTAGAATGATGAGTTTCTGGAGATCATGAAGTCCAACTGGAGAGCTGATGATTTCCAGTTTCAAGAGAGGCATGTCTGATAGCCATGTCACAGGTTATACTATAACTGAGAATGAAGAACAAGATTTTTGTTGGCTCAGTTCATTCTGTCTCAGAATAGTGTTTTTAGAGATTCCCAATGTAACTTCTCTCCCTATCTCTGAACAGTTTTCTATCATTTTGAAATTATAAATGTTAAGTCTAGGTTCCAGCTGAACTTCATCAGTGGGGATGCCAACATATAATTTTAGGAGTTGTGCTAACTTCAGGATCCATGAGCAATTCGGCATCATGGCTATATCTCCCCTATGTATGAAGCCAACAGACCCTCCAGTGAAATTGGCAAAGTTGATGCTGACATTCTGGACCCAATATAAATGTGGGTGGGAACTTAAGCCATAGTAAGTGTGAAGAGTTAGGTGTCAAATGTAACATCATAGATTTCCTGCATTTTGTGGGTTTTAGTCAATTTTATATTTAAATTGACATTTCATGGAAAAGTCAGAAAAATATATTATCAAGCAATTTTAAAATCTATTCTCAACTGAAATCATCTCCCTTGTGTTTTTTTTTTTGAGGTATATGTATATGGCTTCAATTGATCATACCTAAAACAGAAATGGCAATATCATAATATGTAAAATGTCTACCATCTGAATATCCTTTTAATATCTAGGTTTTAATTTTAAAAAAAACTAATAATGAGACAGCCTTTCCTCTTTTGCAGAGAAGAGAGATTAGGTATGGGACTTTGCAAATACTGTTAGACTTGGTTGATATGTTGGGTTAGTTTTGCTGATCTGTTTTTTATTTCTTTTTTTTATTCTATTAAACAAGAAATCATTTCTTGGGTGGAGAGAAGGGAGGATTATATTCAGAAATGATGATGGAACAACAAAAGATACACATTAAAATTTGAAAAATTTTGAAAATGGTAATGGGAAAATGCACAAATCCAAAACTACCAAGTAAAAATTTATTTTTCATAACCTGCAAAGAAGTCTCCTAATGAGACTCTGCTGCCACAGAAACTCTTCAACTCTGTTGGAATTTTAAATATTTTCAACTTAGGCAAATGCCTAATTCTCTTTGCAGAAGAAAGCCTGACAGGATCCAGACTGCCTCAACACTGTGCAGTCCTGTTATCAGATACAGATATGCATGGATGATAAGTACTTGGTGCCCAGGACACTTGGCAAGACATTTTCCCCAATATAAAATGCAGTGCTCTAATGTATGCTCTAATGAGGACCTAAAATAATCTTTTCTTTGTTGCAAAGAATGTTCACTGCTTCTGCCAAATGGCACTGTGGAGTGCTAACGAAGCGCTTATAATTACTCAAATGAGAAATTGTTGACAGTTCCCCATAAACTTGCTGGCAAGCCAAGTTTGGATTTTATTTTCTTAATAAATTGAACACTTAAGATGGGATATCCTAGGCATGTGTTGGTCCATGATATATCCTCATTATTTACATTCCTTTTTTAACCACTCCAAAGAAATATCATTAATATCCTTTATAGTAAAGCCAGCTGAGCAACTCCCAGCCTTTTGCTAGTGTGTTTAACTGGCCTCTTGTCAGGGCTGAGGCATTTCTAAGAATACTAAAATTCTCTGGTCAGTGAAGTCTGCAGTATGGGTCATAAGTATTTTCAACTCTAAGCCATTAGTAACCTATGGCAACCTTCAATAAACATGGTTCCTTAATCCTCGCTTTTCAAAAGGAAAGATGCCTTATACTATAAAGAGAGATGATGGCAACTGAAAAACATTTAGTCTTTTATTTATGAATATGCCAGCTCTAGGCAGGTACAGGGATCAGTTGAAGCCAAGAGCACTTGAATGTTCATAACCTAGTTTAAGGTAGTCTTGAGAAGAGAATCTTTAGGATAGAATCTCTCTAAGCAAGAGATTTCTGCTAAGGTAAGGGTTGGATTAGATGATCTCTGCAGTCCCTTCCAATCCCTAGATTCTGTCCGTCAGTCAACAAGCATTCAGTTAAGCAGATACTGTGTACTAGGCACTGTTGCTAAATGTTATGAATACAAAGAAAGGCAAAAAATAAAATCCCTGCCCTCTAGTATCTTACATTCTAATGG